GTGCTATAATCTGGTTTGCCTGGCTTTCTGAGAACTATCGTAGATGAGCATTTCCAATCTTTCGGGTAGACTTCTAGCATGAATGTCGCTCTGAATATTGGTCCCATGAAGGGTACTAGCTGGTCTGCACAGCGCATAAATATGACATTGCATATGCCATTTAGACCTGGGGCCTTGAAGGGGGAGAGCTTTTTGATGGCTCAGTGGATCTGTGAATCTGTGATCAGCTTGAATTCACAAACAGGGGGGGATACTCAAAGTCAGGGTCTACATGATCATTATCTGGTGGGGGTCAGAAGAACACTTCATATAGTAGCTTGCTCTTGCGAGCGTTGTCCTGTGTGGTGCCATTCTGTCTGTTCACTCTAGGATCTTGAAGTGTTTTGATTCTAGTGTGTATTTGGTCAGCGGAGGCACTTGCTACATACTTGTGAAGGGTCCAGGTTCCTGTGAGGGTGAGTCCTTCCAGCCATTCCTTCCAGTGCTCTTCCTTTGCGTTCTTGATACTTTCTGAGAAGCGATTGCGGGCCATTCTATACTCTTCATGTATCGGGTCATTCCTTCTAGCTGTTAAGTGTTTAGCTTTTCTTCCTAACTTGTTTACTTCCTTGTGTTGAACGTCTAGCTCTTTAGACCACCACCTTTTTGTGTATGGGGAAGGTTTGGTCTTGGGAACCTGTTCTTTAATGGTCTTGGCAATACATTGAGTTAGGTTGGTGAAGGTGGTGTTGAACTGCTCGCAGTCAGTTAGTTTGACTGACCAAGGGATAGCATTGAGTTTGCTGGTCAGGGTGTTGTGGAATTTGTCCCAGCTGGTTTCTTGGTAGTTTAGCTTGGGTATTGTGAGGATGTGCTCTGGCCAGAGGTCTAGTGTACTAATTATGGGGAAATGGTCAGTGATTACTGGGCATAAGTGTTGTTCAATGCTGCATTGGCTGAATGATTGTTCTAGTTGAGCAGAGCAGAACACATTGTCTGGACAAGTGTGGTTCTTGGTATTAGATGCTTCCAGGGTTGCTAATGCTGGTGGAAGTACCTGTACTAGGTTATATAAAGATAAGAGGTTGATTAGCATGCCCGCAGCATCTAAGTTCGCCACAGTAAATAGATGTGTATTATGTGACATTTTCAGGAGTCTATTGAACTGGTTCTACCTGCATCCACCTGCATTTTGGAAGGGCCAGCACACAACTAAAGTCAGCTGGCATTCCAAATGCCGAGAAGATGGCTGTAGCCTGTGTGACAGAAGCACAGCAGCAGTGAGCAATACCTTCTTCATGGTTTTCAGCACAGATCTCACCCATGATGTGTTTGCAGTGCGATCCTTATCAGTTAGAGCATGTTGAGTGTGGTCTGCACTCTTTTTGCTCTTGTAAGTGAGAGTTGGTGGCACTACCCCAAATGTATCCTCAACCTGCTTGTGGGACAATGTCTTATGAGAAGTATGTTCCTCCCACTTTCACTTTAGCTTTGGCTGGAACAAGCTGCAATACTTATGGGTTAACTGGCAGATACTACTTGATTTTGATGGTGCACACCTCAACCATTCCTTCTCATCTTCAGAGAACACTCAAAGGCACTGCAATACTTCCTCCTGGTTACCACTCACTGGCCTTCCATGCTGCTTGAGCTTTCCTCAGATATTGGCCTTTGTTGTTCTTCGGGTTCTGTAAGTTCAATTAATGTGTCAGTATGCTGTGCATGTCTTAGGGGCTCAAATCTACTTACACCAGGAATTGGTAGGTAACAATCAGTCTTCCAGGTGTATACTCCTGGCTGAGAATGGGTAGGCATAGTTCTTCATCACCAGATTCCAGCATTATTTTGCCCAGAGAGTAAGGTGTGTCAAGTAGTAGCTTTTGCAGTTAAATGCAAATCGAACCAAAATGTTTCTGCATTATGTCGGAAGCATCCACATGTGAACTAGTCTAAGTCGTCTCACACCTACACTTATCACTTGCTATGTCTCTAGCTCAACTGAAGGGTGCCACTGCTTATCTTGTCGACTCTCAAGGCATTAGTATTGAAGCTGCAGCTGAAGACCAAGATGAGGAGGTAGAATCCCTCCTCAATAGCTTTGATGTTGACAATCAGGCTGCCTGTGGCACACTGTGCATCAGCACAAATGAAGCTGACACCCTGCCATCAAAACATAAGAGGACAACTGCTGCCATCCCAGTGCACCATGACCAACTGTCAGTGAGCCTTGAAACAGCCTCAGCAGGCATCATTGTTGACACCACTCTTTCAGACTATCAGTGGTACATGTCATATTCTTTCTGTAGCTCTTATTAAGGCATAGCACAGGTACTGGAACCAGTTCAAGGAATTTTGTGTAACTATAAATAAGGTCATGTCGACTGATGATGTTGATGGCCTCTATCCTGATCTTCCTGCTAACTTTCCCATGTGGATTGCACTCTGGATAATGGACAAGTAAGTCGTACTACATGGACATTGTGCTATGCATGACTGACTTGGAGCTCACAGATGCAATGAAAATGATATCTGGACTGGCAAGGCAAAGCCTCCAAATGTCCTGCATGCAATGTATGGCACCACACAGAAGATGCGAGCTGCTGTGAGCCACAAGTTTGGTCGTGACCACAAGCTTGGCACACAGCCATGGTCAGAACACCCGATGATTGCTGGAAAGTCAATTGTAAACCCATCCCTCTCAGTCATGGTCTCACAATACATGGTCAGTCTTCGTCAAAGAAAGGCAAGTGTTCTGCACATCTCCCTTTGCAGCTCTGAACTAACATTATAAATTTCCAGGTATGGTCTGGTGAAGCAGTCACAAGTGCTCAAGCCATGGATGAAGTGACTATGAAGTGCCTGTGGGATGTTGTCTGGGCAACACCACGCAAGGAGTATGGACCAACATCTTGCAAGCGAAAAGCTGAGAATCCAGCAGAGTGGGCAGGGTTCATGATCTGCAGTATGCTTCTGCTACTTTATCTGGTTTCAATGATCTGTCTCCCACGCTATGATGAGGCCCTGCGGATTACTTGGGCAGATATCACATTCCAAGTCAAGGACAAGTCAGTTGAAGGAAACTGGCTCAATTCTTCCACGGAACTATTACTCCAGGGCAAGGGCTTCTGACCTGGTGACTTCCATGTGAGACTCGAACTGCCATTCAGAAAAACACATCAATACAGAGGTGTGTTTCTTGATGCACAACATATTGCAATTGACTAACAACTGTACAGGGATAGCACCATTCTATGTATATGCTGATGAGCAATGTCCATGGATGTGCTTGGTGTGAACATTCGCAGTCTGGTGGATGTTAGTGAGGGAGAGGTGCAAGAATCTTGATGGGTTCATTTTTTGGAAGAAAATTGGTACAGACAGTGTTAGTGTCAATCCAACTGATGGTATAGTGAGTTTGCCATCCTTTTCTTAGCTTGTAATTTACATAACTTAGACCTCCGATGCATTCCTTGAATGTTTCCATAACAATCTCCTGGATATTGGCATGGACTCATGTCCTTATGGGACTCACTCCTTCTGACGAGGTGGATGTCAATTCTTATACAAGGTATGCAGATGGGACTTCAGGGACATCTGTGATTGGGGAGGATGGGCCAAAAACTTCAACAATCCAGGTACAATATTCAAGTACCTGCTGTCATGGAACAACAATCCTTGGGAGAAGCGAGAGCACTATATGAATCCTAACAGGCTGATGAAGGTCCCTTGCCATGCTTGTGGTAGAACCTGTCATTGTGCTTAAGACTATACTAATACATGGTAGATTTCAATGAATTGGAGAGTAGATAAATGACAAATGGTCAGAAAGTAAGGTCGATGATTTTGGTGTCCCCACTTTCACCTGTGAGATCAATAGTACCACCTGCCATGTCCCCTTCATCTAGCATGAGGTTGATGATATCCACAGAAGACATGGTAGCCAAGGAGGCAGTGGGAGTAGATGGTTGGGAAGCATGGCCCTGGTGTGGTCTGAGGTCAATTGAATCATTCACATGAGCATTTGAAGGTCCTGGAGACAGCAGGACCATTGTTTGTACCCAGCAGTCGTAGATCCGGTCTGCAAGCCACACCCGAAGATACTTGCTTTTAGATGTCTTGTCGACCTGAGTAGTAGAGCTTCCAGCTGGTCCTTTGAGCAGCTGGAGCATGGCTTGCTCCAGATTGTAGATAGGTACATCATTATCATGTCCTGTGACCCCCGCAACAACTTTCTTTGGGCGCCTAGCATGGCATTGGAACACAGCCCTTGTGCAGCAAGAGGCGAGATCAATCTGCACACAGTATGCATCAGCATGGCAAGTAGTGTAGAATGACCATGAAAACAGACCTTGTCACTTGTTGGCGAATTGTTAGTGAGGTCCTCAAGCACTTCATGTAAGATGACAACAGGCCAGATGGTAGAATGAAAGGTACTGACAAGTTTTGTGCTCCCAGCCCAGGAGTTGTTGGATAACCAAGGCCAGTGGAGCAAGGTTGGGTGGGGCGGGAGATTGCACAACAGGTAACTCTGCAACTGGTGTGACAGCAGGTTGCATGTATAGATTGATGACACAAGGATCAGGAAATGACTCAGTGAGTAAGTGGGCCAGTGCAGGGTGACCTTGACCTATTTCCCCCATGGGATCATTGGTAAGGTGATACCAAGCAGCATCTCGCCACTGCTTCAGGGTCTGATCTAGTGGGATGTTGTCATGCACTAACATGCTGGTGTTCATGCAGTGAATGAGACCAAGAGTGGTTTCAGGGCCACAGCCAGCAAGACCCTTCTGATAAAGATGTCAGTGAGAAAAGTGTCTGTAGGATAGTTGACCTGCTGTATCGTAGTTGCCACCACAGCAGATGGCCATTGTCACAAACACATCACCAGTAAGGCAGGGTTCTACGTGTTCTTGGATAGCACTCATGGTGTACATCTTGATAGTTGCATTGGGTGATAACATCGAGCTGATGAACACCCTGCTTAGTAAAAGCTGCCTGCACAAAAAACAAACAACTTACTTTTGAAGGACTGTCTTAGCTCCAAAGACAAAGACATCACTGTCATCAATCATGACAGCATCAACAATCCCTGCATTGTTCATCAAGGCTAGCTGCACTTCAGCTTCCCCCACAGCCTGGGACAGCAGAAAGCTTCATCAACAGCAAACAGGAGGAAAGAAAAAGGACGCACAGTGATCCATTACATGTTGAAGGCATCCAGGATACATTGTGTGGGCTTGACCATCCAATGGTCTCTTGTAGACACATGGTGCCCTCTTTTGACCTCTGGCCACTGGTTGCCATCATAACAGAAGACAAGTTGCACCAGGAACCATGCAAGCCAAGCCAGGCGAAATAAAAAGGTCCAGAGGGCAGGGTTCATTTCAGTCTGAGGATGCACACAGTGCCATTTTCCTTACTGACATTGTTCAAACCATCCACTGCATAGACAGCAGGGAGAATTTTTAGCATCAAACACAGACACACCCAACAATGTGGTCACTAACCTTGCATCAATGCCCATGACATAGGGAAAGTGAGGGGCAGGTCCCATGTATCAATCTGAGAGGGCAAGGGACACAATGGGTACCATCGTTGTGGCAGGCTCGAGCACCTGTGAAGCCAGGGCATGAGGTCTCAATCGAGCAAAATAGGGTGCACATACTACATACCTCCCATAGATGATTGACACCCATTATGGTGCCAGAGAAGGACAAGCTGCTGCTGCTGCATTTCTGAGAGAGATGGTTGTGTGCTGGGGCCATGAACAAGATGGTGATGAGAGGAGGAGGACGAGGAGAGGAGGATGTGGTAGTGTATACCTGTATTATAAATTGAGTGGCCATACAGCAGCCACTGCCTTGACTGCAAAGCTGGGGACTGTCAATTTGCAGTCCATCAGCCTGATGGTCACATTTTTTGCAGAGGGAAAGACAGGTACTCACCACAACCTCAGCACCGTCCAGACGGTAGATTGATGGTCTGATGTGGGAAATTTGCAGTCAGTTTGGCATCTTCCCAGACGGTTGGACTTTAGCTCACCAAGGATCCCCCACCTCACCCAGCGGTGGCTCGAGCTTGTCAGCATCTCAAAAATGCTTTATTTTTTTCGTCTACGACGTCAAGCACTCGTCCCGCGTCCACCCGCCGCCTCTTCTCCATTTCCGAGCGTCTTCCTGGGGTCGTGTCCTCCTCCGTTTGGGTGGCCTTTCTCAGTTTGGGTGGCGCGTGGCGTGGTGGCGGTGCCAGATTGGTCAGCCTGTGCGTGACCGTCAATTTGACCGTGATCAGTCCTTCCGACTCCGAGTGTTGATATTTTGCTTCTGTTTGTATTTTTGAGCTACTTAGCACTAGTCTACTAGTAGGCCTCATCATTTGAGGTTCTGAGTCTTGGTACAATGCTTAGTTTAGTTCATCAGCTTGAAAACGATTTGCAGGTTTCGCTGTCCTTGATATAGTACATACGTATCTACATATTTCGTCTGCGTTCCTCTTCGTTCTTCGTCTTATCGTTATCTCACAATCCTCTCCGTACGATATTACTTCACCAAGCATACTTTCTACCGTGTCTGCTCAACACGTACCTAACGACATGTAGTTTCTTCGATTTCAATACAAATATTTCCACTCGTCAGATAGTGATTTGAAAACACGACGCATGAGTGAGAAATACTGCAGCCATGGAACCGTGTTTGCCAGTGTAGACTTGAAGATCAAAAGCCTTCGAAGTCGGTTATAGTGCCACTATAAGTTGTTTTAGGTTACGTCGCATAAGTTCCAGAGTTTTTTTTGCTCAATATGACATTGTTCTCACCTCTATATAACAGGCTTGGTGTCTATCAGGGGAAAAAACGGATTCACAATTGTCAACCGCGATGAGCTCCGTCCGCTGCCGACACGGCTTTTGGTGATACGAAAGGATGATCGGGCAGTGCAAAGAAGGTATACAGTGACGAATTAATTGCGATGAGATGAGAAGCGGGGGTTCTCGAAACATGGTAGAGGAAAAGCACCAACCTCCTGAATTAGAACATACAGACTAGCGCTCAGCGAACAGCTTTGATTCCAGGCGCATTTACTGAGAGCATTATTTGGAGATCTCGCACAGGCTCCTTGAAATACTTTAAATTGGAAGGTTCGGTTTTCCTGATTAGTGGAGGAGATACAAAACCAACGAAAACCACACATAATATTTGGTGATGCCCTGTTTACCTGATCGACGTAAAGGAATAAAATTCTGATGATGTACTAAGGTGGGCATCCGTCAGCCGTCACCAGCTGATCTAGTCTTCAAGGATTCCGCGATCCTGTATTCCCAGTATCTACAAAGAAATCAGTGAAGCGTATACTCCAAAGTGCTTAATTTGTGATCTACCTTTTGCGTATAGTGTCGTGCTCGTTTGCCAGGGATTTCCAAAGCTACGATAGGTCAGGTATTTGTTAAGTTCACGAATTACGTATCCTACCTCAGTGGCCTTCACCAAGTCACCACCACCTGCTGCCTCATGAATATCAGCCATGAATTCAACAGCAGCGACACAGGGCAATTGTGAATCCTTCGAAGGAAGAGGACTCTCAAGATCAACGACTTCAGGGGGTGTACCTAAAGGAGGTTGGGGCAGAGAATAAGGCAGCACGAATGCTTGAAGCTCGGAATAAGGAATTTTAGCATGATCAAGCACCCCGCGCAGGTAATTCCACGCAGATGCATTATTCGGTGCAATCGCAATTCGCTCCTTTACAAATCTGTCGTGTATCTCGTTATTGTTCCAGGAATACATAGTGCTCAGATCAAGACTTACGCAAGCTCCCGCCGATCGATCGCGTCCCTGTCTTCATCCCCGTTCCGTACCCCAGATTGAAAGGCGATGAAGAATCTGTGATGCCATGCAGAGTTGTTCCTCACGTCACTTTCAAGCATGCTCTCCACGAAATCCAGTTCATGGCTCCATAACGCGTCGTCATTGAAGTTTGCGAGGATCCACTGTCTGTACGACCACGTGTGGTAGTTCTTCATATCAACTTGCAGCGAGTTAGCGATGAACTCAAGCTCAGGGCCGGGGTTGCGAGTCTGCTGTACGAGCAGCTTGCGGTGATGCCAGACTTGGTATGTCTTCAAATGCTTGATCGCAAGCTCATCCATCAGCTGAAGCTCATCGTCGAGGGGAGACTTCAATGCCATAAGTGTTTTATACCTGTACTGCCTAATCGCACATGGAAACGTGCATCTGTGTTCGGCTATATGTGCATGATGGAACAAGTCACACTCACCATGCAGAGTAGTGTCCAGGATTCTGCCGAATTATATTCTCCGTGAGCTCCAACACCCTGGGACTCATCTCACCACTCTTGACAATCCCTCTGAAGTAGTTCGTGGCATCTTTGTCTGATAGATACAATCCGATCGTTGCGTTGAGTGAGGGTCTGCAAACAAGCCGGTTTGCTCACGAACATTCATCCGTATAAAAGATGGGCGCAAGAGGGGCGACATTCTCGTACTGCTCTAAGGGAACGACATCGGCCCACTCAGGTCGCTGAGAATACAACGGCTTCTCCTCTTCTGCAGGGATATTCATGGCCAAAATGTGGATTGTAGTGGGAGTTTCAAGTATCACAAGACAAAGGAGATTGAAATGGCCAGGAATAGCAACTACACTTATTTGCCATCAGCAAGCCCAGAAATCACGAGAATGTCGGAAGAATGCGCCTGAAGTCCAACGTTCAGAGTAAATCATTGGGCGAGTCGATGTCGGATAACACAAGGTCTCAGATCTCAACAGGCGAGCATGAAGAGACTCATAACTCAATAGAAATTCGAGTCCCAGGAAAACAAGCGTGTAGAATACAGGACAGACTACTAAGAATAAATCGGAACGGTATCAAAGGGGGACAAAACAGACAGTCAGCATTAGCAGATACACAGTACGAGCTACTTTAAGCAGCGGCGGGAACAACGATATTGCTCGCAGTGTAATCCTGAGAAATCTATATGAACATGATGTTCCAGAGACGAGGTTCAAGAACAAACCTCCATCTCTGCATCAAGATCAGCAACGCTCTTCTGAGGTCTTTCATTCCCTTCCTTCCTCGGCCTCTTCCACGGCGAGAGCCACGCGTTGCAGGCCTATGAATTGGTAAGACAACGAAACCAGTAACTTTAGTGTACGCACCTGGCACTTCGAGCGTCTGGAGCTGCAGGAGCAGAAGCGGCAGGTGCGGACGCGCGACACGAGTGAAGCGGGCGGAGCAGGACGTGCGGGGGTCGACCACGATTTCGATCTTCATTGGGCGTTCTGTAGTTGACGTGCGAGTACGATTCGGAAAAGAGGATAGACATTCGTTAGTCGGCTGTGCTTTCAGCGAGGAAGCAGGCAAAAGGGACGGATACGAGGAGCATGCCACTGTCCAAAACCGTTACCAAGAACATTGTCGACTCTGTCCTCCAATATGCCGCAAGAGCTGAGGCTTGCGCGCGAATGGCCGCCCTGATTGGTCAGGGATGAAAGATTTGGAGTACTTCCCGCCTGTCACTCCATAATACTTGCACCGGCCTGGACTCAATCCCGAGACTGAGCCATGAGGAACGACGTGCACTGCGAGGGCACCGAGATGCAAGTTCGAAGGACGACAAGCCTTCAAAACCAACCTGCAACCTGGTACGCACCTCAATAATGTCGAGGCAGCGGGCACAAGACTCTGCCACCCAAAAAGAGTCTCGATAACCGCATATGGGCGTTTCTGCCACGCATGCAACGTCTTTTGGCAGGGCCAAACAGAGAACCAGCGACAACGGATCTCCGTAACGGATGAAGGGCTCTTGCGGGAGATAAAGGAAGGAGATAATAAAGCAGGCGATACTAACTCCCATCGATCAATCGGTTGTTATATTGCTGGTAGGCCAAAGTACCATCGCCCTTGCGTTGGAAGTGAACCGCTGCGACAACCTTTTGAACGTCCAGCGCTATCATAATGCAAAGTGACGTCGCGCAGGGCTCCAACGGTAGTGGAGAAGAGCTCCTACATTCATGCTTAGACAAATCGCCAAGGTCACCAAAATTTAAAAAACACACCCTAATTTGAACTTCATTCACATCTGTTGGAAGGTGGAAACAATGATTTTATCGGCGGGTTGCGCAGATGTGGTGCCTGCGGCTTTAATAGCGCCGGCAGTGGCCGCGCGGTGGCGGGGTTGGCGCCAGTAGTTCCGAGAAGTTGAGCCTTGGCTCCTGCACCTCCGCGACGACCAGTACCACGACGAGTGCCCTAGGGCGAGAAGAAATGACCTAAACATAATGGTTTGCACGCGCGTGACAGAAATTTTTTGCAACTCAACACCAACCTCGTCAAGTGATTTGTCCATTATTTCCAAGTTTTTAAAGAACGCGTGATTATTAGCGGTGAGATTACTGCTGTTTTGAGAGTCTTAACAACAAAGTAGACAGGTTGGTGGTGGTGATGGCAAAGGGGCGACGCAAGAGGACCCTAACACAGCAAGTCCTTGTTATATATAACGCTTCGGAGTTTAAACTTTCTCAACTCAGCATGATGTATGCCTGTGGCTATACTTGCATCTTTGATCAAGGAAATCACCGCCTTCTAATAAGGTTTTGAAAATATGTCCAGAGGACGCGGTGGTGGTCGAGGCGGCGGAAGGGTGGGCTTTAGAGGCGGTGGGTGGTGGATTCGGTGCAGGGAGCATGCCTCCTATGGGTCTCACATTTGCAGACATACAAGCTATGTCCAGGGACGGAGACGCGTTTTTTACCCAGTGCGGTGACATCATTTTTGTACATCATAGTGTGCAATCTCATTTTGTATCCGAACAGCCGTTGGATCCTCTGCCAGTTTCTCACCGATTACTCTGCAGACGAGAGAAACGAATCTGTGATCTGCAAACCGGTTTCGTTACCCGTTTACGGCAATCTGCTTACTATGTGGTCGAAACGTCGAAATCAAATGGTTCGAATGATCGTAAGTGATTGATAAACGGGAACCTAACGTATTTGCTTTACAGACTTGGAGCGTTTTTGATAAATATCGCCAGAGTCCTGCTTCTCAACCTACACTGAAGCGGAAGGACCTTTATGCACCCTTTTTTCCCTCAGAGATATTCGAGGGCTATTTTAATCCGAAAAGAAAACGCAAAGGCCAGTGGATCAATGTTCACCTCATACCGTTACTGAATGAATCAACAGTTGAAAAGAAAGGCACCACAAAACGCCTCAATCTTGATGACTTAGCGGAGGACGCTGAAGACCAGGTATATCACAACTTCAGATATACATTTATTTTCGGAATATTAACACACTCTTCAGGAGAAGTCGGGCGATGAACGCTCAGACGCTGGATCACAGCCAGTTGACTCCGACTATGACGTCGATGAGGAATATGACAATGATTATGCGGAGAACTATTTCGATAACGGTGAAGGAGACGACATAGACGGTCTTGGAGACGGCGGCGGCGGAGATGATGGCGGTGGCGGAGGTAAGACTTTTCTGATACCCGTGTATTCTAGCCATCTCACATAATGAACAGGTGATTATGACTAGGAGACACATCTGTGCACCTTCCCAGTACGAAAGGACCTGCGATGCAGAGACCTACTTATAATCGGCGCTTTCACGGCCCTATCATGCTTTGATGGTGCCGCCTGTGCCTGCCTGACAGCCCCTCTAAAATGCACGTGTTGCCTTGGACTTGTGCTAGTCAGCGTCCTCTCTTTCAGACTCAAGACCAAAGGGATAATCAGTCCAATCCGAATGTTTCTTTCGCCGCATTGTACTCCGTATCAACCACATTCATATGTGTACAATACAATATGGATTTCTTGTTACTGAGCGAACCCCAGAGCCGCGCCTGTGTAGTGTGAAAGTTTGGTGCACAAGATGTCAACAGCTGGATAGCTCTCAGATACATCCACAAAATACTCGGGGGACCCTCGCATGTGCGCAGACGTTTCGAGATCAGATGTTGCTCCCTACGCAGTTTCGTTCTGTGCTATCATCTGCAATGTCACCCATTTCGGCGAGCTCAATGTGCTTGCCGATGCTGGCGTTATGTGACAACTGAAATCGACCTCACCACTTATGAACACCAGGTGAGTAGATTTACTTGAGAACATCCTGGTGCTTGCCACTTGAAGGTGATGGGCTGATTCTTCAACCAGCTGATAGCCGTAGTCATGATTTCACGATGGCGGAAGATCCACAAGGACAGCCGCGTGCTTGCCGTCCGCAACTTTAATATTCGAATTCAAGAGTTTGCGACTGGGTACTCGGAAAGACGTTGATGATGCTCCATCAAGCAGGC